GGAACCACAGAATTTTAATACTCATTTTCAGGTTCAACACTCTAATTTTAATGGTCAAGGACTCTGCCCAGTTCAGTGTTCTGGATCATTTACCCAATGTTTTTGTGCAGTAGTTTCATAGTTTCAGGTCTTAGATTTAAGCTTTTAATCCATTTAGATTTGATTTTTGTGTATATTACATAACCCCTTTGAGGCTATTTTCTAGATACTGTAGGTGTTCTTTACTGTTTTTTATTCTTTTTTCTTTTGTTTCTTCTTACTGTGCATTTTCAAATAGCCTGCCTTCAAGCTCACTAATTCTTTCTTCTGTTTGATGAATTCTGCTACTAATGCATTCCTCAGTATATAACTTGTATTTTTCAACTCCAGAAACTTTTCTTGATTCTTTTTAATTATTTCAATCTCTTTGTTAAATTTATCTGATATAAGTCTGAATTCCTTCTTTGTGTTACCTTGAATTTCTTTGAGTTTTCTCAAAACTGCAAGTTGGAATTCTTATCTTTGTTTCTTATATTTGTCACTTATCTTTGTTTCTTCAAAATTGGTCCTTGGTGTCTTATTTAGTTCATTGCATGAGGTCATGTTTTCCTGGATGGTCTTGACGCTCATGGATATTTTTCTGTGTCTGGGCATTGAAGAGTTTGTAATTTATTGTAGCCTACAGAGCCTAGGCCCATTTGGACCCAGACTTCTTGGGAAGGCTTTCTACATATTCAAAAGGACTTGGGTGTTGTGATCTAAGCCATATCTGTATTAGGGGGCACCTCACACCAAGTAAGGCTGTGGTTCTTGCAGACTCACAGAGGTACTTCCTTGTTAGTCTTGGATAAGATTCAGAGGAATTCTCTTAATTTCCAGACAGAGACTCTTGTTCTCTACCTTCATTTTCTTCCAAACATAGCTCCTTTTTATGTTCTGAGCCACCTGGAGCTGTGGGTGGGATGACACAACTAGCCTGTGGCCACCACCACTGGGACTGCACTGGGTCACACATAAAGCAAACACAGGACTGGGGTTCACCCAAAACCTGGCTACTGTCTATGCTTGCAGGCTGGCATACTTCAATGAGCAGGTGGTAAAGCCAGCCAGGCTATGTCCTTCCCTTCAGGGTGGTAAGTTCTCCAAGGTAGGTCCAGAGGTGTTCTGGTGGGTCCAGAGTTCTCCCTAGGTGGGTCCAGAGGTGATGTGTGGGAGTTAGAGACTAGAGTCAAAAACCTTAGAAGTCTACCTTGTGTTCTATTGTACTGTGGCTTAGCTGGCATTCAAACCACAAGAAACAGTTATTTTCGCTCTTTTCTCTTCATTCCAGAGGCAGAGGCCCCTCACCCTGTGGCCACCACTGCCACAGGCCTATAGGGAATACTGGCAGACTACTACCTATGTTTACTTGAGACCCAGGGTGTCTTAAGTCAGCTTGTGGTAAATGCTGCCTGGACTGGGATTCACCCTTCAGGGCAGTGGGCTCCCATCTGGTCCAGGGTAGGTCCAAAAATGCTGTCCAAGCATCAAGGCCTGGAATCAGAGACCCTAAAAGCCCACTTTGTGCTCTATCTTCTTGCGGCTGAGCTGGTACTTAACATGGAAGACAAAGTCCCTTTACTTTTCCCTTAGCTTTTCTCAAGCAGAAAGTGTTTTTCCCTGTAGCCACCGCAGCTGGGAATGTGCTGGGTCTCACTTAAAGCTAGCAAGTCTCAGGCTCACCCAAGGCCCACAGTATTCTACCTGGGTATTGCAGCTGGTTATTCAAGCTTTCGAGGGCTTTTCAGTCAGTGGTGATGGGGCTTTCTGTGACTGGATCCTTCTCTTTAAGGCAGTGGGTTCCCTTCTGGTCCAGGTTGTGTCTAGAAATGTCATCCTGGAGCTAGGTCCTGGAAAGGTGGCCTCATAACTCTGACTGGTGCCCTATCTGATTATGGCTGAGCTGGTATCCAAGATGCAAAATGAAGTCTTCTTTACTCTTTCTTTTCCTTTACCAAGCGGAAGGAGGCAGTCCCTTTTAAACCCATGAGCTGTGCTGCCAGGGGTTGTGGGGAGGTGGTACATGCACTCCCTTAGTCAGCCCGGCTGATTTCCCAGTAGGTTTTGCATCACCCAGGTCCACTGGTTGTGAGCGCAGCACAGCACTGTGACTCATGTAGGAGTTGCAGTCCTTGTGGCCTATACTGCATTTAAAGTTTATTTAGAGCCCCACAGGATTTTAGCCCACTGTGGTGAGGCATGGAGGAAGTCAACTTCTGACCCCTGGGATGGGTGTCTTCTCTCTGGCTAGGGCTGGGTTAAATATTCCCTTTATGCACAGGCATCAGCTGGATTCTGGCCAATTTTGCTTTCTTCTTTGATAGGGCAGCATGGAGTTCAATGCAATGTCTCACAGTTGCTGTGCTCTATCTCCCAAGGGCACAAATTCTCACTTTGTGCCACATGGCTGCTGCTTGGGATGGGATGGGGGTATCAATGACAATTCAAGAATGTCTTTCCTACACTCTTCAGTGCCTCTTTCAGCTATATTAAGTTAAAATCAGATACTGTGAGAGCTCTCCTGATTTTTGGCTCATATGAAATGATTATTTTTCTGTGTAGATAGTTGTTATACTGGTGTCCTTCTGGGGTGATAATCAGTGAAGGCTTCTATTTGACCATCCTGTTCCACCTTGTGTAGTCTTTTATTATGAAGAGACTGGCTCACAGTAGTGTATAGAATTGTTTTTCCCAATAGTCATGATTAGTTTGCACTCATGTAGCCAATGCTTTTTTTTTTTTTTTTTTTTAANAATATCTCATGTCCAGTCTGTAATCAAAGGTGTATTCTAGGAGACAACATATGAATAAATGGCCCATCCAGGGTAGAACTTCTGTGTTTTAAGTAATCATGTGAAAAATATAAAACTAGCGTGATTACCAGTAATAGCAGTATTCTAAGCCATTCCAGAACAATATTGTAATTTTAGATAAGAGAAAGAAATTAAGAGAAGAGCTAGCTATATTTTAAAATTTTATTAATTTGAACAATATGAGTGTTAGTACCTAGATACCAATGGTCATATCAATAACTGTAAAATAAATCCAAAGACAAAGAGATTTATTATGAGAAGTCCATGACATAAAGAGCCATTTTGTATTATTTCAGTCTAGAACACAAACCTAGACAAAGACATATGAGCTGGAACTTTAAAATGTCTTACTTTTAAAAAATATTCTAGAAGGGTTACATTCCCAGTTTGAGTTAACATTTCTACTTTGAAATTGTGGAGTAATGAAATCAAAAGGCAATGTTTTGCCTCTTACCAGTTGTTTAGAGGCAAAGTAAAAAAAGAAACCCTCTTGCTTTTTGTTCCCTCTGGGACTGTGAGTTCAAAAATAAAAGGAACACTCAGATTAAATTTTTATTTCTTTCTAGAAAAATGTTACATGCATATGAAGAAAAACTATAATCTACAATTACTAGGTTCATTTTAATTTGTCTAAGACTGCACGGTAAAATGTTTAGAAAAATCTAAACTAATATGAAAAAAATAAATGACAGAAACTAAGCAGGTATTATAGAGAAATTATTCTGAAATACACAGAACATAGCATCAGTTATTTACTGTGTTGATACCTAAGACATAGCTGTAAGAAATTATCCAAAGAAAAGAGTATCTTTCAACATGAGCAAGATGTTAGGTAATGAGGGTTGAAATTACAAAGGGGAGAGAGATACTGTTCATGTAAGAGGACCATGTTTTTGAAGCTTTCCTCACTTTAGAATTTGTTTGTAGGTGCCAGAGGCCATTTGGTTGTTTGTGCACATTATTTTTCAGAAACACTTTTTGAAAGAAAAATAAAATGGAATTACATATACAGTAGATATATTTTTGTACAACCTGAAATAAGTAAACGGATCTGGAAAAGCTCATTCTTTTTGTTTTCAAATACTAGAAATAATGGTAAATATTAACCATATGTAGATGTGGTCTAGTATTGTCAATATAGGATACAAAGCACTATTGAAATGGAATCCATTTTGTACATTGCGTTTTTAAAACCTGAATGATCATTGTTAAGTGAGTTTTTGTAGCTAAGTATTTTTAAGATTGTTGAGTGATTTTTAAACGAAATGTCCATATGTTGCTAGTAGTACTATGTAAGTAGTCATAAATGGAACAAATAATAATGATTGGCATAATCAGTATGACTCATTTATATTTGATAAAACCTCTCCAAGATGCATTAGGCACACACCAACTATGGAAAAAAGGATTGAATGTGATTCCTTTTAACTTCACAAATTTATGAAAAATCTAACTTATTTAGTCGCAAAGTGGTAGTAGAAAAAGTCTTAATAAAAATAATCATAGTAAAATATAGACATAGTATTTTTTAGAGTTTTTTTTTTTTGCTTCACGTAAATTAGCCAGAACCAGCCTTTTTTGTGTCACTCAATAAATTACAAAATAGTATTAATACAATCCTCATCCTTTAATCGTACACATATATAAAATGTCTTATCAGGGGAAAGAACACACAGAGAAAGCAAGAGAAGAATAAAGAGAGACAAGAGGGGATGGAGGAAAGATATATATTGTAAAATTATTGCACTTTCTAGAAGAGATATCATTTCTGGGATAAAAGAAGCTTTGAGTGGATTATAGAATACAGTATATCAGAGGCATTCTTTTCAATCAAGGACAAAGAAAGGTAGATTTGCAAAAATACAATCAACTGAAATAGTGAAATTCAGTGAAATTTCAGCAATTTCAGCAGAGTAATCAAGAATACTTTACAAAAGCTAATTTTTAAGAAATCATTCTGTAACGAAGTAATTATTCTATAACAAACTGATATAGTATGTGGACAGTAGGTTATACAAAACCCTCAGAAAAAAAGAAAAAATAATAAAACATTAACGAATAGGAGTAAAGCATCAGATCGTATCATATTAACATGCCATGACTAGATTGTTTTTCTTTCTGGTGTACCATACCCTATACAAACGCTAGGCAAACAACATGGAACAGTACCTTTCTTTTGGCCTTTAGCTGCTCATGATACTTGTCACAGGTATCTCCTGGGATTTCTCCTCCCCAGAGAGTAATTCCAACAATGGTGTATGTGATTCCCATGATGAGCAATGGGAAACAGTACACCAGTATAATGACGACAACATGGTAACTACAATGAATAAGAAAAACACATGCTGAAGGACTTTTTGGAAAGAAATACTAGGGACTGAATTTACTCAGCTTTAAATCATAATTAAAACTACCAAGAATTATCTCTACATTATCTTTATACATTCATCTCACAATTCCATCAAAATATCATGCTATTGTCACTTATATTTACATTTCAACTCCTGCCAGTTGATGTTTGTCAATGTTTACTTGGTATATGAAAACTATAGTTGAGTTGAAGGGGGTCAGTTAAACATGTGTTCCCCTTATCTAGATGTTGAGGATGAAAGACTTTCTACTGCTTTGTATGCTACTTGGTAATTGTTGAGCTAAACTAATTAAATGTATCATTGAAGGAAAGGGAAGGGATGGAATAAACAAATCAACTGGCATACATTTTCTCCTATGTAGGGTTATCTTCTATATCCCTGCAACATCAGACATATACAAATTGATTTCGATTCAAATGGAGGGAAAAAAGTAAGTAGATACTCTGAGTCATAATGAATCCACAAGTTACTACAATTTTAAAAAATCGGGTAAGGACATTTGCATGTAATTTTCCAAAGTCATGGTGTATTTGATTGCATTGTTAACTTGCTAAAAAAACGTTGACATAGTAGTCACATCAAAAGTATGCTGCTGTAAATTATCAAATTAAATTCTGGTATTTAGTAGCTTATGATCAAAATTATAAGAACTCAATTAGAGGGGAAAAGGAGAGAAAGCCATACTACGATAACTCAAATAGAATTTCATAAACTTTTTTGTTGTTTTCACTGTCTTGGAAGGCTTTAAAGTAATTAAAAAGTTTGTTATAACAGTCTTATCCATACCAGTATTTTTTTTAAAGTAAATCTTAAATATCCTTGCCTTTCTGTTTCTTAGTAGATTACTAAGTATTGATTTAAAGTCAGTGAGGAAGTAATTCAGTCAACAAATAATTTGAAGATGATAACATCATACAATTAAGATGTATTAATAATAATGAATAGAGTATAGTACTCAGTTTATATGAGCTGTCTGATTTTCCTTAAATAAGTGCTTCCTAACATTTTGATTCAAAAATCTGAACTTTGCATAGAGCAAAAGTAGATAAAATGACTGCTTTAAAAGACAACCATTATTTGAATCATTTGTTATTTTTAAAGGAAAAAAAGTGATCAGTAAAATGGAAAAATAAGCATTTTATTGAAATTAAAGATAAAATGCAACCAAGTATACAATTACATTATTATTCCTTTTTGCTTTAAGGTGGGTTTAAAATACGAACCAAGTTTTCCCATATATTATAGCATTTTTATTTCCTTTTCAACGTAGTGTTCAGGTTTTTAGATTCTTTTTGCTTG